TTTTGAGACAGGGTCTCATTTTAATCACTCAGGTTGGAGTGCAGTGGCACAATTTTAACTTAATGTAGCCTTGATCTCCCCGGGCTCCAGTGATTCTCCCACCTCAGCCTCTGGAGTAACTGGGAGTACAGGCACATGCCACTGCTAGTGGCTAATTTTTTATATGTATTTTTAGTAGAGACGGGTTTTTGCCATGTTGCCAAGGCTGGTCTCGAACTCCTGGACTCAAGCAGTCGACCTGCCTTGGCCTCCCAAAGTGCTGGGATTACAAGTGTGAGCCACTGCACCCAGCCTGTTCTCCTGTCTTTCTAAAGGTGGTATTTCTCCCTAGGCCAATTGTTAGCAAACTATACCAGCAGGCCAGATCTGCTTATCTGTTTACTTATTGTCCATGGCTACTTTTGCACAACTATGGCAGAGTTCAGTGCTAATTGTAACAAAGACGATATGGCCAGCAAAGCCTGAAATATTTGCTAAGAGACTGTTGAGAGAAAAAGTTTGCCAGTCTCTGCCCTAGGCTGCTATCTTAGTTTGGTTTCTTGAGGCTTTCATCACATTTTTGTGACTTTTCAGGTCTCTATGCTTCAGAGTAGTAATTTCTGGGCTCTCCTAAGAATAAATGTGCATGAGTTTCATTGGTTTTCTAGCCAGTGGCACCCAAGGAATGCTTCTTGGCTACTCTGTGGGCTGCTGGCGTCTAGTTGTTGGCTTAATGGTGAGCTGAGAACTTGGGATCAGCCTTCTGGAGTTATTTATTCATGAGACAGGAAATGTGGGATGCCCCTAAGAGGAGGTTACATTTCGCCTGCTATCTTCTCCTTCCAGCATTAAAGACTGTAAATGGCAAGAAAAAAACATCGTAGTCATGGAAGAAGTTGTTATTACACCCCCATATCAAGTGGAAAACTGTAAAGGCAAAGAGGGAAGTGCACTGAGCCATGTACGCAAAATAGTAAGTAAAGGAGCCTTGAAACTTGAGGGGAGAGAGGATGGTTCTTCGGGCCTTCAGTCTTTAGCACCAGAGCAGGACACCGTGCTATAGTCTCTGCCTCCCCTTGCAGCCCTGTCTGGTCTCCCTGACTTTCCTGTACTGTGGGGCTCTGCAGCTGTGGCTTGGACACTCCTATGGGAAAGGAACCACAGGGTGGTGTGGAATGAAGTGAGTGGTTGACCCAATGTCCTTTGCTGGCTTTTTAGAATTAGCAAGGCCATTCCATGGTATTGGGCCTGAGCAGTTTCTCTCTTCCCATATTGAGTTTTTCTTTTTTAGAGACAGTTGCTCTGTTACCCAGGCTGGAGTGCAGTGGTGCGATCTTAGCTCACTGCAACCTCCGCCTCCAGGGTTCAGGCGATTCTCCTGCCTCAGCCTTCCGAGTACCTGGGACTACAGGCATGCACCACCACACCCAGCTAATTATTGTATTTTTAGTAGAGATGGGGTTTCACCATGTTGGCCAGGCTGGTCTCAAACTCCTGTCCTGAAATGATCCGACCACCTTGGCCTCCAAAAGGGCTGGGGCTGCAGGCATGACCCACTGTACCTGGCCCCATACTGGGTTTTTGTTAGCTGTGGGCATCCTTCTAGAAATATCTCGTTGGCATAAATCAGTTGCCATTGGTGTCTCTGACCCTACATATATCACTGGACTTTAGACTGAGTTATACCGTTTGTGAAAACAAACTTCCAAAACACTCCTGCTTTTTTTTTTTTCTCTGAGAAACATTGAGAGATCAACATTGTAGATGTAGGAAGTATGGTAAGACTGTAATTTCCAGGCCGGGCGCGGTGGCTCAAGCCTGTAATCCCAGCACTTTGGGAGGCCGAGGCGGGTGGATCACAAGGTCAAGAGATCGAGACTATCCTGGTCAACATGGTGAAACCCCGTCTCTACTAAAAATACAAAAAATTAGCTGGGCATG